TATTAAACCGAAATCGGTCACTGATTTTATTAAAAGAATTTTGACATATAAAGTGAAAATTTTTGTAATCGCAGCAAGTATGAAAATGATCTACTTAAGACAACGAGTTGCATAATGTTTCGAAAATAAAACAGTTCGGTTTTAAATTAAAAAGTTTATATCAAATAAGGGCAGGCTGACATATAAAAATAGAAATGGGTTAAACTTACAACCTAGTAATAATGTTGTGTTAGTCCTTATTTTCCATTCTAAATCAGCACAAAAGAATTAAAACACAATATATGATCAACTAACCCACTTCTTTGAAAAGTAAATAACTTTAAAAGCCATATATGTATAACACAATACAAGTCGTTGAGAATAAACAATTTATATTATGTTCTATTTGTCAATAAAATTATGCATATGCCACTAACAATACAAGAAAGTAGTAATATTGGTTGCCAAAATGTCAGTAATTTCTTACCAAAACACAATTTTATAAATAATCCAGTCAAAATTAGAAAAAATATTGTATGTAACACGTCACGAAATGCCGTTTTATGTACCTCGTTCATGTTGCGGGACCTCGCTCTGCTCGTCCTGCAAATATTCACTTGTAACATATATTAAGACATTTCGTAAATGGTTTCATAAATAAACTATGTAGGTTTATATTTTGAGTTTTTCTTATCTCATATGTCCTTATTTAAGAGGTTGGATTTCCTTAAAATGAAAAATATTTGTGGCGACAAAAAGTGGATTGATTAAGCATCAGGCATTAAAATTTTGTTAAATTGCTTCTTCGGCGTTCTCAATTCGAACGAGCGTCGACCGAGCTAAATATAAACATTCGTATAATGATCAATCTCCTCATTGATTTTATATAAATTTCCGGCTGAATAATATTGCACGCCCGTCTTTGCTTTGATAATGCATTTAATTTATATTTTCGAGATAATTGAGTTTTATTTGAGTTTCCACTTTAAACCGTTTAACTTTTAATATTTTAGTAACTCCAAGAAATTAAAGTCTATATATATTATATACAAGGGTGTCCCAGAATATGTGGGTAATCTTCCGGATTCAGATAGAACATATAAAAATAACATGACAAGTTCCTATACATTTTTTTTTCTTCGACCCCCCCTTTTTCGTAGATATGGTCCCACAATGAACATAATTTTAATTTTCAAAGTTCTTGGTTTAATTTAATAATTTTTAAAAATACAATGGATACTAGATAAGTCTCCGTAAAATGGACCATTTTGCTTATTTAGTTTGCCAGGGACGGACTAGTTTTAACACGATAATGCTAATATTTTTTACACCCGGTATGATAAAGACACAATATAATTTTTGGACAGCTTAAACCTTAAACTAAAAAAATCTGATGTGTCCAACACATGACTTTCCTATCTAGTTATTATAGGCTTTCTTCGGTTATTTTGTACAACCTATTGCAGCATCTCTATAAATGTTAAGAGGATAAACTAAACATATACATTGTCCACATACATCTACCTCGAAACATTTTTCTATAGATATTCATTGAAAACGAAAATACTGAAAAATTTAAATTTAGCACTTTTCCATTACGGTCCATTTTAGAAAAATCATGTATAAACAAAAATTATAGAAATAGATATCGTAAACAACTTTTAGTTCAACAATTTTCATAAAAATCAGACTTTTGCACATTTTGTTAAATTTCTCGAATACGGACCATTTCAGGAAATTTTGAATTATAGATAATAATATTAGAAGTAACTTTTATTTGAACAATTTTCTTCTCCAAACATAAATAACAGATATATTCCATAAAATATAAAAACGGCCTCTCATAAAGTACCCCCCAGATGTTCCGACTTTGTTCAAAATCTAATAATTTCACGTCAGGCCGAAATAAACCTTAAGTTTAAAATTTAATGTTTTTTTCTTTATCCGTTTTTGAGTTTTCTTCAAAATTCGAAATTTACACATTTTCTCAAATATCTCGAATACGGTCCATTTTAAAAAAATTATGTATGGAATAATAATTATAGAAGATTATATTACAAACTAGTTTTATTTAAAAATTTTTAAAAAAAAAATTATTTTTTTACATTTTGTCAAATTTCTCGAATACGGACCATTTTAGGAAAATTTTGTATACAACAAAAATTATAGATAATTATATTAGAAGTAACTTTTATTTGAAAAATTTTTGTGTGTGTGCGTGTGTGTGCGTGTGTGTGTAACGCATAACTCATGAACAGATACACAGAAAAACACCAAATTTTAAACTTAAGCTTTGTTTCAGCGTCCAATGAGCTGATTAGATTTTGGGCAGACTCGGAACATCTAGGGGGGTACTTTATGGGTGGTCATTTTTATATTTTATGGAATATATCTATTATTTACGTTTGGAGAAGAAATTTCTTCAAATAAAAGTTACTTGTTTTATGCAAAATTTTCCTAAAATGGTCCGTATTCAGGAAATTTGACAAAATGTAAAAAAAATATTTTTTTATAAAAATTGTTCAAAAAAAGTTGTTTGTAATACAATTCTCTATAATTTTTATTATATACATGATTTCTCTAAAATGGACCGTATTCGAGATATTTAAGAAAATGTGTAAATTTCGAATTTTGAAGATAACTCAAAAACGGATAAACAAAAAAACATTAAATTTTAAACTTAAGGTTTATTTCGGCCTGACGTGAAATGATTAGATTTTGGACAAAGTCGGAACATCTGGGGGGTACTTTATGGGAGGCCGTTTTTATATTTTATGGAATATATCTGTTATTTATGTTTGGAGAAGAAAATTGTTCAAATAAAAGTTACTTCTAATATTATTATCTGTAATTTTTGTTTTATGTCAAAATTTTCTGAAATGGTCCGTATTCGAGAAATTTGACAAAATGTGCAAAATTCTGATTTTTATGAAAATTGTTGAACTAAAAGTTGTTTGGGATATCGATCTCTATAATTTTTGTTTTTACATGATTTTTCTAAAATGGGCCGTAATGGAAAAATTGTAGGAAAAGTGCTAAATTTCAATTTTTTAGTATTTTCGTTTTCAATAAATATCTATAGAAAAATGTTTCGAGGTAGATGTATGTGGACAATGTATATATTTAGTTTATCCTCTAAACATTTATAGAGATGCTGTAATAGGTTGTACAAGATAACCAGAAGAAGCCTATAATAACTAGATAAGAAAGTCATGTGTTGGACACATCAGATTTTTTTTGTTTAAAATGCTTTTTTGCATTGGTTGTCAATGATAAAAAATATGTTTTGTTGCTATGGCTTTTAACGGTTTTTATTAAATAATTTTGTAGATCGGTTTAATATCAGCACCTTCTGATCGTATGCATTCCGTAGCTTTAAGAATTAAAGATTGTTGGACCCTACAAAATACCCAAACATTATTTCTTATTTCGCGACAATGAAAGTTAATCGTTTCTAATAAGTTTTCTCTATTGTCAGGTGGATTGGCATAGACTACATTTTTTAAATTTTCGCACACAAAGAAACCTAAGGGATTTAGGTCAGGTGATCGAGGTGGCCAAAGCATTGGTCCTCCTCTTCCTATCCATCGATTTCCGAAGTTCCTGTTTAAGTATTCTCAAACTACTCGACTAAAATGTGGTGGGGCCCCATCATGTATGAACCATATATCACGTCGTATTGCCAATGGTAAATCTTCTAAATGTTTCTGAAAACTATTTTGAAAAAATCCCAAATAAAGTTCTCCAGTTATATATTTTGTCCTGTCTTCGAGAAGAAGCGCATGGATACAATTGAGGCATTTATTTTAGAAACAACATATTGTCCAATATGTTAATTTTTCTGGAGATGAAAAAAAAACACTGTAGAGTTTATTATAATTTTTTAAAGAACCTTTATATTTTAAAGTGATGAATATAAGTTAAATAAAGATTTTCCAGCTAGTTTCTTTGAGAAAAATCTCATTATTTTAAGAAAAACACATAAATTAACTTGGACTTATGCTGTTTAAAAAAAAAAACTAAAAATAAAACAAAACTTATATTATTACAAATTTAGTCTTTATTAAAGTTTAAGTTACAAAAAATAATTAGGATTTATCACAACCACTGTTGTCTTCTTCGTCGATTTCTATGGCGTCATTGCTCTGCAAATCTTGTGAAAAAATTCCATCATAAAAGCTAAATACGGTAAAAGATCCCTTAGATTTTTCAGTTTGACAGATGATATTGGCACAGCCTGAGGATAAATTGGTGTGAGTTTTATGAAATCAGTTATTGGTTTTTTACTTCTAACAATAGAGGATCTCCATGAACCTGTATAGGTATCCCTTAACTTCACTAAAGCAGTCTCTGTACTAATTTCGAACATGCGAACTTGTTTTAGGGAAATTGGCGGTCTAGCTGTTTTTAGAAAATATTGGTCAGTGGCTAACTTTATATCAAATATCTTTAAGGGGCCCATTTTGACTAATGAAAATTTCTAGGGTTTACTTCGTGCTGACAATATCACTTTATCCCACTCTTCAGGTGTCTCTATTCTTTCCAAATGCCGTTTCTTTTTTTTTCGATTAGTGCAAAGTCTTGATCGTTAGGGAGATATGAATGGCCCCGAATAGGAAACAGGTATGTAATTTTGTCAAAAATTTTAAGCACATGGGCCAGAATAAATAAAAAGTGCAACATAACATAATTCTTGTTTTGCCCGGGACATCCATCACTAAGCAGTACAAGATTCCTTGTCGTAAAGTTGTTGTTAAGAAAATGTAGCAACATGGAACACACATCATTAGCACCTTTTTTTGCTTGCCTTTCTGTGTAGGTGTAAATGGATGCCTCATCTATACCAAGATTGTTAATACCAAATATGTGGTACCATAACTGACGTAAATAGAATACTGGATTTGATGGAATGTAGAGAAGAGGCAGATTTTGCATGAAATCAAAGCAAATGAAGTCGATTTTCCCAGTCTTAGCCTGTGTTTTGTACCGTTTTTTCATTGTGAAAAATGATTCAGCCTTTCTCAATGAAGCTCCTTTACCATTGTTATTTGGACTTTCTCGGCATCGCTGATTTCTGGAGAACTAAGTTTTTGTTGGAACGAATGACATTGAGAACATGTATCAGATCGTGGAAAACCAAATTTTAAATTAAAGTTGGTTGTGAATATTTTATAGTAGATTTTATAATGTATATTAATCAGGTATTCAGATTGAAACATGGAATGCATATCTTTTATGGTCAAACCTTCCGGCAAGCAAAAACGAAGAGGGTTTTTGCGCCTTGAGTAATGAGACTGTCGTGGTTTGAATGACTTAATGTGGTCCTTAATTAAATTAATTAGGGTGTCTGGATAGTCCGTTGACCTTTGCTTTTCTTCTGCTCTTAAATCCCTTGGCGCCGTACCTCGAGTAACCAAGTGGTTTTGGATACGTCTAAGCCGAGAATACCGATCAAGGAGAAACGACAGCTTGGTGTCTTCAGTGTACCGTTTTGTAACGCGCATGTGCGAAAATAAGTTGTGTATCATTCAAAATGATGAGCAATGTTAAGTGATATTTTTTGGTGTTTGTTTTGTGTAGTAATAAGATGAAAATTTTTTACACACTTAGGTATTCTACTACAGATATAAAATGTGCCAAAAAAGTTATTAGGAAACTAAGAATTTTATCACATGTATAAATATTAAGTATAATGATTTAATAATTTTTAACAATTTATTTTTCATATGTAGGTATTGGATTTTGTAAAATATATGTTTTTTTTTCTTTTAAATAAATTTAATAAACAACGAACTGCAGATTTTGTTTATTTTATTTTGAAATTATATTTATAAAAAAATAAAATAAATCCGCATGTTTCAATTCCCGAAATCCCTTTATTATGGCTAAATTGTAAGTTACAATTACGTCCATATAAAGATGTTTTGCCCATTCATATTTACATTTATTGAATGAATCATATTGAGGTTGATTTTGGAAATATTGGTACATACTTATATGTACTATTTCTAAAAATTCATCTGTGCTCAGACAGCACACATATTCCAATTGGCGTCCACTTTAGATCTATTTGAGGGTCCATATCTGGTCATCCAGTGTACGTCCGTTTATGCTAATTAATTTGACAGCTGAATATCGATACCCAGAGAACGTCTGTTTTTGGACTTAATTTTAAGTTTAGTAGTATTTTAACGTCCAGTGGACGTCCATCTTAGGTCATTATTTATTAAGCGTACCAGATAATACCCATCTATATACTCTTTTTTTTAATATAACTGGTCATTAAATATTGACAAATTGAATCTATTGCATTTCATTCTATCAGCGAAAGTTTGAAATCTTATTCAATTATAACTATATCTAGTAAAAAGTTTTCAAGTGGGTTCTTGGTCGAGCTCGTCTAGCCATTAAAAGCGTAAAACGATAATGAGTGTGTCGTGAGTTCAATGCCTGCTCAGGTCAAGCGATCTTTAATTAAAATAATAATAAATGGTGTATAGCGGTTTGGAAAAATAATAAACAAATATTATTAATAATATAAAATAGTGTGTGGTAAGTTGCGGTTCTATAAAAAAAGTGGGGATGTAGTCTCAATGGAAATATAATCCTGGACGTTTTCTTAATGTCCAGTATTCGATGTCTAAATATATTCCAGGATTGGACGTCCTCTGAATGGTCAAAAGTGTGCCATTTGTATACTTCACTGGACGTCCATTGGATGTCAGAAGAACAGAAAAAACTCATTTTTGGACCTCTAGACATCCAAAATTGTATATCGAATGGACGTCCAATGGACATATTTGTATTGTCTGGGTGATAGCCAGGCTAGGTATTTAACTATAAATACATAAACCTTAAATGACATCTGGCTTATCTTTGCGAAAAATCACTTGTTTCTACAGAAATGAGTAATAAACTTGAAAGTCCTTTTAATATAATATAAATCCAGAAATTCTAAAAATATGTAAGTACTTTTTAAACCTAAAAGCTTTGAAAATATATGCACATTGCGAATATTTAGTTAAACCTCTCAAACTTAATGTCTTTTTAATTGTTACCTAATTTTTTTTGGTACCCTTAATTTTATTTACCTTATTTTTACTTAAGGAAAAGGTAATTTAAATATGGGGCTTTTATTACATTTTTAACAATAAATAAACCAAATAGGTATTGAACAAATTTTATAGATAAATTATAAAATAATAAACGTCTTTTACTTTTATAACAAATAATTAATTATTACATAAGGAATTAAATTTTGGTGCCGAAATTTTACCATTGCTATTAACCCTAACTACTTCAATGTAATTAAATCACATTACAACATTTGCGCATGGACTATAACAATGATTTCAGATAATTTGCCAAACTATTTCGCTTAGTGTAGAAAATAAGCATGTTTTCTCAGCGTATTAAGTTGTGTATTAATCAAAGTCATGCTGTGAAAAAGGTCCATCCGATATCAAAGGCACTGACAGCTACTGTCGCTTCTCCTTGATCGGTATTCTCGGTTCTAAGTCTGCCCACAGTTATACCATGAATGCTCAAAAATGCCTCTTTACAAACTTCTATTTCCTTCCCTGGTTTTATATTATCTACATTTCTATTTCTCAGACGGCGTTTATTTACTTCTTTCATAGTTATTAGGCCAGACAAATGAGTGTCTTGTTTATTTTTATTGTTCATATTATAAAACTGTTCGAATAAAACTACTTTTGCTTCCTTACTGATTTTTTAATCACACTTAAGCCGCTTACATGTATGGAAAAAACAATGTAAGCAAAATATTAAGTTTTTTCATGCAAGCTATTACTTACCTGCAGTTTTTTCCAATAGTGCATTTTTCTATAAGTTTTCCTCTATGATTAATATACTCTTCGCCTTTTACTTTGGCCATTTTTATTATACTGGCTTTTGGTGTTTTGTTTAATTTTCGCTCTGGCGCGCACTGAGTCTGTGCTCCACTACCACTTGCTACTGCATTTTCCATAGTTGTACGTATAAATAGAACCTTGTAAAAGTGCAAAATCGAACAATCTACTTGAAATACAACACGAGGCTAAAAACTAACCTCACTGGAATAAGTAAACAACTAAATTTGACAGGTCTCGGCTTGCCCAATTTCCTTTAAAAACGGCAATTGTCCATGTACTTGTGCAGTTTTTAAGAGAAACGAATAAAACATATGTCGTTTTTACAGAAATACTGATATTTTAGCGGTAATTATCTGGGGACTTGTGCTGTTTTTGGAAGAAATGAATCCTTGCGGTGATAGCGTCCAGGATCTCTAACACGATGGCGCCAAAATCGTATTTTCGCCAATTTTGGACATATGTTGTTCTTAAAATAAACGCCTCAATTGTTGCTATCTAAGGATTTTGGTCAATCATACTGGGTAGCCAATTTTCGGGCACTTGTGGAAGGATCATCTTCTACGGCATTTAAAATATTTTCTTTCACACCCTTGCCGCGATTCATTTGAATTCCACAATAAAATTGTAACTGGCTCTGCCAAAATTTCCTAAAATTATTTTCGGTGTTTTACATTAAATCTATAGTGCGGGTCTAAAGTACCTCCCCCACATTTATTTTTTGAACAGTAAAAGTTGGACGGCGTTAAGCAGAAATCTACCAACCCTCAATAGTAACAAACTGAGCTCTATAGTTTTTGTTCGTTTAAGAAAGCTATGGGATATGGACTAGCATTTTATAGTTTAATAGGGTATATAATGAACTGGACTTGGTAGGTTCTTACAGAATGCAGAATGTGTATTTTATTATCTAAATCCGCACTCAACCTAATATCTGGTATATTGTGGGTTGGTAGTTTTCTGCATAACGCCGTCCAGTTATAAATTTGAAATTTTTGGAAATTGAACTTAGGAATGTATACTACCTTTTAAATGATATTAGGTGACGTAATCATTAAAAATGGCGAACGGGAGCCGCTTTGGAAAATAATTTTTAACCGACTTCAAAAAAGGAGGAGGTTCTCAATTAGTTTTTTTTTTTATGTATGCTCAGCGATAATTCTTTAACACGGTGTCCGATTTCAATGATTTTTTTGGTTAGAAAGGGGGTACTTCAGGAGTGGTCCCATATAAATTTGGTTAAAATCTAACAATTGGGTCCATGACAAAATCCTCAAACTCTTCATTTTTTATGTATGTTTAGCGATAATGCTTTACCACCTTGTCCGATTCATATGATTATTTTTTTGTTAGTAAGGGGGTACCTCAGGGGTGGTTCCACATACTTTTGGTTAAGATGTGGTGACGCCATCTGCACGTTTTTGAAGTCGGTTTTTTTTAATTTTTAATTTATAATACTTGTAAATGGAATCATATGACAAGTGCTACATCATTTGACATAAATCAAATGACATAAATAAAAATAAAATTTTCTCATAACGAATCCTTTGCTTTGGATTTTCAATGCTATCAACTGCCGTACTACAAATGTTTAACCTTTGGCAAGGTATTATTATTCTCGTTTAAAATTAAAGTTTTTTATTGTTTCATATCTCAATTTCAAATTTCTAACTTTACGGTTTAAAAAATGTATGGGGGTAAGTGCAAATAACAAATAAAATGCCGTATTTTTACATGTCTCTCTCACACGACGATCCACTCTTTCAACGGATTTCCTATAAGGAATTCTTCGATTTAGAAATCGTTCGTCATAAAGCCTTCTAGCCTCTAAGGTATTACAAGACGCAAGCCCATACATTAAATTCATGTCAGCATATTCATTTAACGTAAATTCCATTACTACTTTATTAGTTAATAAGATAAGGTAGAAAAAGATCGCAAATTTGAACATACTTTTGTCAACAGACACTAGCACACTGCCCTAAATTATTCTTATTTAAATTAGTCAAAAGACGATAGCAACAAAAAAGATTATTTATCAGTGACAACCAATGCAAGAAACCATTTTAAACGAAAACGAGCCATTTTATCGATATTAATCCAGCATACCTTTTTGTTGTTTAAGGTTTATGCTGTCCACACTTATTATTGTTGTGTCTATATATACATGGTGCAAATAATATTGGCATTGTTGTGTTAAAGCTAGCCCGTCCCTGGCAAACCAAATAAGACAAATGTATTTAAAATACTCCAGTTTACGGAAACTTATCTAGTATTATACCGGTCAAGATATAGTGTAAAAATGTTTGTCAATTAAAATTATTTTTTGTTTTTGCCTGCTGATACTGATACCAGTACAGAGTTGTACTTAACAAGCAAATATAATTTAAAATTAGAAGAAGGATTTACTGATTTAATTTTTTTATTTATGAATTCTTAAAAATTAATAGAAAAATTATATTTTTAAAACTAATCTAAATCACTACCATCACCCTCATCACCTTCCTCATCAGATTCACCGTCGTTTACATTAATTACAAATCTTTTTTAAAACTGGCACCTGTCGCATATATTCATTTTTAACCTTTATTACATAGTTTTTAGCATTTCTCCAGTTCTCAGATGTAATATTTGGGAACTCTTTCATTATAAGTTTTACAACGCTGTAAGGATTATTTATTTTTACTTATTTTTTTAAGTTGGGACGATAATAGTTCAATTGAGTTCAAAACACAATAGTAAGGGGGTAAATCTTAACACATTATGACCATTTTTCTTGGCCATTTTGTCGACGATATGTTCCTTAGCGAATATTTTTGTATTTAGAACTTCTATAAGTTGAGCCTTCATATAATGCTCTTTAAAATATAAGTCGTCTTCAATTTAAAAGTTTTTGATGTCTTCTGTGATAGAACATTTGGTTGGAATCTTACAAGTTTTCCTTGAATGATATGATGCATTATCTAAGACAATCCTATTGTTTGGATGTAGTACTGGCAACAGATTTTCTTCGAACCAAGGCTCGAAAAGATTTCCTTCGATATGCTAGTGAAAATCTAAAGAGCTATCTTTAATGTGTTTTGAGCTTAACAATATTGCATGGATTTACCCAGCCCTCTTCTCCACCGCAGGTAATATGAAAATGCGCTTACCTCGAGAATGGGGAACTACCGTTTTATATTTCCAATTAGCATTTGTCCACGCTTTACGAACAGTATCGTGGCTATCAAACCATGTTTCATCCAAGTAATAGATGTGCCTTCCTTCGTTGCGGTACTCTCGAATTTTCAATATACGAGGGCGGTTTGACGAAAGAGTGACTTTTAAGAGGTTGGCAACATTTTTGCTACGGTGATTATATTGGTAGTTTCCGCCATGTTTCTGATGTCATCTGTCAAAATTTTACAAAATTCTGACATATAGATTAGTTTTAATACTCATATAAAGAAAACTGTTTTTAATGTTGGGTAAATATAGAGAAAAAAGAATTTCGAGTGTAAATTATTTATATGTATCATTATTTTTTACGTGGAAAAACAATTAAAGAAACCGAGGAAAAGTTACGTAAATATTATCCTGAAAGTGCTTAGTCCCATGGAATGATTTGTGAGTGGTTCTCTGCTTTTAAAAGTGGCCATACGAACACGGATGATGCTCAACGTCCGAGACCGACATTTACTGTAACTACTCCAGAATTGGTTAATAAAATCCATGCCTTTGTACTTAGCAATCGTCGAATAAAAGTACGTGAGATTGCTAATGAAATAAATATTTCAACTGAACGGGTATGCAATATTTTGCATGCAATTTTACATATGAAAAAACTATCTGCAAGGTGGGTACCGCGTTTGCTTAATGCTGATCAAAAGCTCGGTCGCATTAAAAATTCAAACGAATGTTTAGATATCTTCAAATGTAATCCAAGTGAATTTTTCCGTCGATATGTCAGAGTGGATGAAACTTGGGTAAACCATTATACCCCAGAAACAAAAATACAGTCGAAACAACGGACTTCATCCGAGGAATGTGCTCCCAAGAATGCAAAAACTGTTTTTTCGGTTAATAAGATCATGGCCACAGTGTTTTGGGATTCCAAAGGTGTAATCTTCATTGATTATTTAGAAACAGGAAAAAAAATAACTGGCCCATGTCATGCTGATTTGCTGACACGTTTTGATGCCGAATTTAAGAAAAAACGACCGCATTTGTTGAAGAAAAGAGTTTTGTTCCATCACGACAACGTGCCTACCCATTCGTCCGCTATTGTTGCAGAAAAATTAGCCGAACTGCGTTACCATTTATTGCCTCATCCGCCATATTCACCTAATCTGGTTCCCTCCGATTACTTTCTGTTCCCAAACTTAAAAAATGGCTTGGTGGAAAGCGATTTCAGACAAATGAAGAGGTGATAGAAAAGACAAACGCTTATTTTGCGAAACTTCCAAAATATTATTTTTTTGATGGTTTGAAAAAATTGGAAATTCGCTGGGCTAAGTGTGTAGAGTTTAAAGGAGATTATGTTAAAAAATAAAATATTTTTTAAAGTAAAGTAACTTTTTCATTGAAAAGTCACTCTTCCGTCAAACCTCCAAGATTTTACATGATGTTTAGTGTGTACATACTGTAGATTGTTTCACATATTGGCGCTAACTGATGTGAATTGATTCGTATGGAATTGCCTGAATTTCTTCTTCGTCTCCTTGCCGGACCTAGGTTTATGATTTTGTATACTTTAGCCTGAGGAGTATTTGTTAGAAACACTCTTTCCTGGATAGCATCTTTTCGGGGCATTCCTAACATTTTTAGCTTTTTCTGATAAATTTTTCCTTTTTAACTGTGTGACCTATATTTTGCAAAATAGGTCCTGGTAGAACATCTACCCAATCTGCAAACTGACTTGTTGATGGTTGATCTTGTTGCCATGGTCGCCACATATCGTACAATTAAAAAACCTTTTAACTTGAACCTTGCAGAATACAAATATACTTCTGATTGAAATTAATATACAATTTCACACTTTAAAAAAACTCAAAAAAAGGGTGTCAGCTTACTGATATATCAAGTCTGGTAATTAACGCGGACTGGTTTATTAAATTTTACTACAGTGAGCGTTTTTTATAAAATAGTCACCTCAAAAGAAAGTGTGATAAGAATATGCCTATTTAAAAAAAAGTTTTTAAAATGTTTTTTTAGTAGTATAAATAAATACGTACCTACATTTTCTGAGAATTACAGTTTATATTTAGTTATAAATATTGAGAATTTTCCTTTGAAAAATATAAATTATAACTAGGCATTTTTCATTTTGTACTGAAAATTATATATTATCTATAATGCGGACCTGAATAATTTCTTTCCAGTGTAAAGAAGTACTTACTTATTTTTGGTTGCTGATAACCATTCTCTTATATCTTGACCGGAATAATATCCATCGGATTTATAAATTATTAAGTTATGTCAGGGACATTGAAAAATAAAAAAAAAATATGTTGAGGGGTGTCCATTATAGGACTATATCTCCGGAACTTGTCATGTTATTTTTATGTGTTCTATCTGAATCCGGGAGATTGCCCAGCAAAATAAAAATAGACGTTTAATTACATTTGCACGTGAAAGCAGCGTTGCCAGCGATAGAAAAATGAAAGTACTGCAGTGATACTGAAAACGGTATTGACTGAAAATAGAAAGTACTGACTGTTGACAGACAGTTGCTCCATCTGAAATTACAAGTACATAATTGATGCGTTTGAATATTCACATCAAATGCATCTGAGATGTTGTGAATTTAAATTTTTTATCACGTGACAAAGGATTAGATCTAAATTTAGACAAACGCTCTATTTATTGGTAACGTGATAAAATGACAATAAAAAGTTAGAAGCATATACTTTTTTGTTTGACTTTTGAGACTACAAATCAACCTAAATTTAAAATCTAAACAAAAATTAAATAAACTAATCACTTTTATATTTACGCTAGCATACACAAAGGATAAACCGATAAACTTGGCTTCACAGAACACTTACTTTGTGGCATGGAACGAACATATCATTCATATCTCATTTCAAATCGAGATGTAAAACATGTAACCTAGACAGCTACATCTCGGATAAACAAACGCAGATGTAATAAATGTGTCCGATGTGGATAAACAAATGCATGCCCAAATCAGTTGTCATTGTTAAAAATTGTGGGACCTAGCACCAGAAACTTTGTGATTCGCCTGGGCGTAACTTAGAGTTATTTATTATGTCCCAGTATTCCCCAGTAACATTACTGCAGAGGATATATTGTGCTCTACACTAAGTTTTGAGTTCACTGCATTTTCGTGTTTCTGTCTCTATCTATATATATCTTTAAACTCTGTGAGTCAAGTAGATTGAACACGGATGATTTTGTAAATTACAAACAACAAAAGATCATGAAATCTATAGAGGAGAAAAGCATGTAAAGTAAGTTTTTTACTGGGAGAGAAAACAAACCATTATTTTTTTAAACTACTTATCTTGAACATAAAAAGGTACTGAAGCATATAAAGTAGCACTAAGTTACTAATAATGGCCAAAAAACACTAATTTTAGTACTTTATCAGTGACACTGCGAGAAAGGCATAAAGAGATAAACTCGTGAACACCTGTCTCCCTCTGTCGTAATTGTGTTTTTACTTGTCTTTTAAATAGCATCACACAAAACATCACACAAATAACCAGTTATATTTATATTATTATTATTATCCCATTCTTAAGATTAAAGTATTTATATTTCATTTTGAAATATCCTGTATATTTAAATTGAAAATAATAAGAGTATAATTATTTATTGTTACCATAATATATTAAAATTTCGTAATAACATTATCATAATTCTAATTTATATCATTGTTTCAGGCAACCTTCTCCACCACGCCGAATTCCTCCACCTCCAAGGCAAGTAGCTACAGTTTTCATCGCAACAAAATTTATTAGAATAACTTCTAAAATAATGACAATAATTATTAACAATAATAATAAATTTTATTGACCTCATATTAACCATTTACAAACAACTATATAATTTAAACAATTAGACAAACATAAAAAAGATCAAAAGGATTGTTCTTTCTCAAAAGTCCGCTTAAAATTAAAAAAAAAATATAGATATATAAAAATATAAGAACACATATACACGAATTATACGAAGAATATTTTTTACATAATTAGATAAACTAGAACAAATATCGCACTGGTTGTTTTTACTTTCCTATCTGTATACAGATATAAGGAAAGTATAGGAATCACGAGTTTTTTCGACCTCGAGTTTTCGACGGATTTTTACGTTTTGAGGTCCCCTGAATCCGTTTTGACTATTTTCGCGATGATGTCTGTGTGTGTGCCTGTGTGTGTGTTTGTATGTCGCATAACTCATGAACCGATACAAAGAAAAACACCAAATTTTAAATTTAAGCTTTATTCCAGCGTCTAATGAACTGATTAGATTTTGGGCAGAGTCGGAACATCTGGGGGGGTACTTTATAGGTGGTCATTTTTATATTTTATGGAATATATCTGTTATTTACATTTGGAGAAGAAAATTCTTTAAATAAAAGTTACTTCTATAATTTTTATTCTATACATAATTTCTCTAAAATGGACCGTATTCGAGATATTTGAGAAAATGTGTAAATTTCGAATTTTAAAGAAAACTCAAAAACGGATAAAGAAAAAAACATTAAATTTTAAACTTAAGGTTTATTTCGGCCTGACGTGAAATGATTAGATTTTGGACAAAGTCGGAACATCTGGGGGGGGTACTTTATGGGAGGCCGTTTTTATATTTTATGGAATATATCTGTTATTTATGTTTGGAGAAGAAAATTGTTCAAATAAAAGTTACTTCTAATATTATTATCTATAATTTTTACTTTATGTCAAAATTTTCTGAAATGATCAGTATTCGAGAAATTTGACAAAATGTGCAAAATTCTGATTTTTATGAAAATTGTTGAAATAAAAGTTGTTTGCGATATCGATCTCTATAATTTTTGTTTATACATGATTTTTCTAAAATGGACCGTAATGGAAAAGTGCTAAATTTAAATTTTTCAGTATTTTCGTTTTCAATGAATATCTATAGAAAAATGTTTCGAGGTAGATGTATGTGGACAATGTATATATTTAGTTTATCCTCTAAACATTTATAGAGTTGCTGCAAGAGGTTGTACAAAATAACCGGAAAAAGCCTATAATAACTAGATAGGAAAGTCATGTGTTGAACACATCAGATTTTTTTATAAACTGACGAAGACTTTTTTTTAATTTATTGCAAATTTCATTATAACGTTTTGAAAACTAATAAGAGAAAACATTTTAAATTATTGAGTTGTTTTATATTTAAGGATATAATCATTTTAACGTTTTGAAAACTGATAAGAGAAAAAATTTGAATTTGAGTTGTTCTATATTTAGCGATATAATGAAATCCATTCTGCGTATATTTATACAAGTGTTGTAAATGTCGGAGCTAAAGGATCAGGCACCTTTCTTATGGAAAAATAGCTTTCCGTCAAATTTTCTGAAATATTGATATGTTATAGAACGCGATGCTCTGAGAAAAAGTGTCCGTTGGCATAAACCGATTCTATGATTAATTTTCGAGGTTAAACATCGGAAATGCGACTTCTTTGTAAGCTTATTTCTCATAACACACCTGTTTTATTCGCGTTTGTTGTAGAAACCATGAATTATAGACTATTTGACACTAATATTTTATAAAAAGTTACTGTAGAAATTGGTTGATTACAGGGTGGTTCAGAAATAAGAAAAAGATATTTTTTCATGACAGCTATTAAAAATAAGAGCAATTATCATTACCATAAAAATATAGTTTAAGTAATTGCTTCTTGATGATATATCGTATTTTATACAGAGTGACTCATAAATGTGGTTTCAGAGGGAATATATTATTTTTCGGCTTTAACGAGTCACCCCGTATAAACGATGTGTTCTGAATGTTCAATATTATATTAAATAAATCTAAGACCTGTCACTCTATATCATACAGGGTGTTAAACTGATTTCAAAAACTTTAAAAATCAGGAAAGTCGTTTTTTGTGCAACACCCTGTATTTTAAAAGTTTTTGCGTCAACTTATTACATTTTTATATTAATAAAAGTTCATTATGTAACTGAGCAAAAATTTTTTGTAATCTTATAACCAGTTTTCCTAATATGTGTATCCATAGTTAACATAGAAAACGATATTGTTATTACATATTTTACTTGTCATGCATGAAATAGTATTAGGTTAATGCATCATTTACTTTATTAATATAAAGTGATGCTAATATCTATGTGCAGACAGACGACAGATCTAGCAAAATCAAATGTACAGGCCTACCTTGTCTATCCAAGCGAAAACACTCGGAGATGTATTCGAATCAGCAGATCACACACCTTTTCTCAATTATTTCGGTATAAGTGCAATTTGTATGTAGGATAGTCTTAGGGACATCTGAAATGAAATTATATAATTGATTTACGGATGCAGTAACATACCTAGTAATATAGTACCTATCGTGTAACTACCTAAAGCCAACCCTGTTCATCTCACCGTTGCAAGCCGATTTGTCTGTTTCGATACCCAGGACAGAGACAAACGCACTTCTTCGAGAAGTTACCAGAGAAACCGTTGCACGCCGGCTGACTCACAGAGGAAGACTTTTCAGATATTTTAGATCGCCTAGAATCTACTGAAGCAGAGCTGGCTTTATATAAATAGCGCGACTTTGTCGGTAGATATTGTTTCAATATTTATTTATTTTATATATTTATTTAATCATACATCCAACGGCCAAGGCCCATTACAGAATGCGCATTATACATTAATAAACATTATGGATATATAATACAACAAATAGGGTAAACAAATTATAAAGTTATACTATAAATAACGATTGTGTGAGTATTCTGAAAAAAAAAACTCCAGTGGAGAAGAAAGATTTATCACACATAACGTATTAGAAACAAAGCTAAAATATAAAATATATGAAAAAAGAACATATTACAAACAAGAAGATATACATAATATAACTGATTTAAATCGATGACGTCATTACCTCAGTTTCCAAATATGGACAAATATGCAAATTGGGCTTAAAACGGACCTTACTCTATCCCATTTAAGAACCTCTTTTCAACTTTTTCCTATCTTTTTCCCTTGTCCCATAATGGAGCTGAGACATCGAGTTTTGCTCACCCTGTACAGAAATTGATATTATCAATCTTTGAAATAAGCTTCAGGTCAACAGCGTAGAGTAAATATTGTACATTTACATTATTACAAATATCGTTAATGAAGATTATAAAGCATAAAAGACCTAAAATGGAACCTTGTGGTACACCAGAAACTTGAGATATCAAGTGAGATTTAACACCACTAAAAAGGATATACTGGGAACGATTACTTAAAAATAATTCAACATATTCAACTTGGATAACAAAATTGGATGACTAAGGCGATCGAATGCTTCGGTGAAGTCAGTGTATATAAGTGTTGTATAGAAAAGATAAATTTTAATAAATAAATTAGAATTTTGAGTTATAATAGTGCCTAAGTATTAAATAAATTATAATAAATAAACTATTTTTAAAATAAACAATCATTACATTGGTGTTAGAAGTTAAACTGTAAATAAATAGTGAACAAAATTTGCTAAAAAACTGTGTGATTTAAAAGTGCTGAGTTGCGTAGAGAGTTAGAAGAACGTGAATTGGAGACGACAGGGAAGAAATCAGAGCTAGTAGAACGGCTTAAAGAAGCACTAGAAAATAAAGGTTTAAATTCGGAAACGTACCTATTTTCTGATGATTCATCTTCTGTTATAATTTTTTCAATTTCTTTCTATATGGAAAGTAAGAACTCTTCTTTAAAAACCGATATTTCTTCTGATGTTTCCTCTATAAAAATGATACTTTCTCCTTATAAAATTAAGTTTCTTCCGACATTTCCTCCTTAAAAAATAAAGTTTCCTCTGATATTTCTTCATTAAATAATATAGTTTCTTTCTTAGAAACTAAAGTTTCTTCAGACATTTCTTCCTTAGATAGTAAAGTTTCTTCCTTAGAAGAAGAGGTGTGTCTGAAATGTCTTCTATGAAAATAATGTATAACTGAGCAAAATTTTGTTTTAATCCTATAACCAGTTTTACTAATCTGTGTATCCAAAGTTACAAAAGTTAAAGGATGTTTTTCTCATATAGATCCAACTTTATGGCACACAGTTTGAGGTCACCATCTTGATAATCGAGGTTCTTTTCTACATGATTTGCAGAGAGTATTGCAATATTTTAATAAGCCCTATTTGGTATTGGATATGTCTTGATAAGTCAAATTATTATTAACCCTCTTCTTTAACTTTTAACTGTTTGGTTTTTTGTTTAATTTTCATTTTTTGTATTAAATATTCAATACATGGACTCCTAGACAATCCATATGGATTATTAAAATATCATAATCACTGTAAGTCATGCAGAAGAAAGCCTCGATTATCAAAGTCTCAGATTTAACGTTATTTTCAAAAGTTTCTGGTCATCATCTTAATAATTGAGGCCTTCTTCTAAATAACTAATAAGCCCTATTTGGAGAGGTATTTGCATAATCTTTAGCAAGCGTTCAAAACTGTTGCTAATTCACGACAAAAACTCATTACTGGGAAGATGTTAAAAGAGGTACATTTTAAAGTACTAACACCGATTTCACGACACCAATTTAAAGATCATTTCATTGGAGACGGTGATGCAAGAAAATGTTTAAAAGAAAAACATCTTTTTACATTTCCTGTTAAATTGAGGATAATTTTTTACAAATAATATTTAATTGTAGCTCTCGACAAATGATCAGTAAAATTACTCGTATATCGCAAGTTAAACTACCATTACTCCAGAATTTGG